ATTGTATAAATAAGCCTCGAGGCGTTTTCGTCTGTAAGGTGAGGCGTAAGCCTCGAGGCAATATGAGGCGTAAGCCTCACGGACAAAGAATTGTGTAAATGAGAATTTAAGAATTTTAGCAGGTAAATAATAGTAAGATTCTATCATATAATAAAAATATCTAAATGACAAGTGAAATTAGTGGAAAGTAAGAAAATAAATGCAATAAAATTATGTCTCAAAGTACAGAACCATAAAATATAAGTCGATCAAAACTCTCAAAAGTACATAAGAAAGAACATATTAAAGGGAATATTCTTCTCCAATTGATCTATGAATGTCATATTTTAGATCTTCATTTACTCACTTTCTTCTCCCTGTTATAAGAATAATTGTCCACTTCTCGGTTCTTATGCTATTACATTATATATATATATAATAGCACATAAGAAGTTGTGGAATACCTTTAGTTGCTTGTTGTGCTGCAGAGATAGTGGATTGTGTGTGGTGTGGTACTAGTGGATGTGCCCACTTGATCTACTTCGCCCCTCAAGACGTCCACCTTAGATCCTCCAGTTGCAGGTCTGATAATGACAAATCTGTCTCATCAATCTATGAACCACTCATTATCAGATGCCACATCATCACACATCAATGGGTCCTCATCATCCTTCAACCCCTTGTTCCTCAACCTCCTATCTCTCAACCTCTTGTTGTGCATAATATTACACAAGGGAGTTCATTCTGAGTGTTGAAAGTCGATTTCTTCTCTTTGTTTGCACTTGATTTATGTACTCCAGTTTTGCTCACACCCAAAGGAAGAACGAGTGGAGGCCCAAAACTCTGTAACTAGTCTTTTTCATATAAGCTGTAATTTCCTCCTTCACCTTATCTGGAACATTCGCACAAGGTGCTACATTTCTTATGTGAGCCGGATAAGTGTTCCTTCATGCGAGTTACTCCTCCCTTCACCACCTTATACAAAAATTACATTTTAAATGCACATGTCTTCTCGCGCCTACTACATCAACTTGCACACTGTATTCCAAGAATGGTCACGCCCCGCAATGACGCATTTGTCTTTTCCTTGCTCTTAATCATGTTTCCTAAAGCCAAATGCAAAATATAACAAAAAATATATAAATAATAAGCAATGATATAAAATATAATGTCCAAGAGACAAGAATTCACATTAAAAGTCACCTCACCCCTTCCTCCTCCCTATAGAGTTCAATGTCTCTCAATCAACCATGGACTAATGAAGAATAGACTAACACTAACAACTATTACTAAGATGAGATCAACAATATGTTGGTTGCCGGGGGGTCCCAAAGGGCGCTGGCCCCCTAGCGGGTGTTCGACCTTTGTATGGAGATAATTTTGAAGTTTTACTTTATTTTTTAAAGTTCATAAGTCCTTTATATGGAAAGATACCTAGTGGTACCGAGCATTTACCTAGTGGTATCGGCATGTTCTAGCATGGTATCGAGCATGCACATAGCGGTGGGCCCAGACAACTGTACTAGCACGAGAATGCTCTCAAGTCATACTTTCCGGTAGTTGAAAAATCGAACCTTAAACTTAAAAAACAAAAAAACCCTAGAACACTGAAGAAGTGATGTTAGAGGGGCGGCTGGAACAAATGGACTCACGGCAGAGGCCCGGCGAAGTCGGGAGGTCGGTGTCGGGCGTCTGCGTGCTTCCTATGCGGCTTTGATTTGGTCTTTACATGGTCGGGTTAAATGGGGTATAAGGAAGGAATTTAGAGGTTTAAGTAAGTGCGCCCCATATTAGAGCGTCTACCGCCTCAAAAGGAAATTGACGCAAAATGCTAGTGAGCGCGCCTCCTCCACCTGAGCATACGGCCTCAAGATGCCTGAGAATTGCCTTAGCTTTGAGGTATTTGGAGCAAAATTGCTGCAAAGGCGGCTCGGATTGCTCATTTTAAAACTTATTATATATATGTATATGTATGTATATATATAATTGTTTATTTTAAAAAATAGTAATAATTAAATTATGTTTTTTTTATCCATTTTAAATGATAGAGAGAAGAATTAAATTTATCATTAATTAAATTCTCTTAAGAATAAATTAAATATAAGAGCTATTAAAGCATATTCAATAGCAACTTAGAGAAAGATAATTTATATTTATAATACAATAGATTTAAATTAGGAGAAAATTCAAAACATTAAAAAGAAAGAATAATTGAGTTAGAGAATTAAGAGAAATTTATTATTTTAATTTTAACAACAATGTCTTTATATAGGTGTTAAGTTAGCGTCAACGAAAATAATTAAGGTGGATTGTTAAGGCACACAACTTTGAGGTGAGTTGATGTAGGACTAAATGCGTGGGTTGATTTTAAGTAGGAAATTACACGCTTATCACAGAGTAATCACAGTTATCCAACATCTAGCAATTTTAAATGGAAGATTGAAAACAACAAGGAGATGAATAGATTAGACAATCAGTTACACGATAATCGTTAGGAGCACAAAATAATAAATTCAAATCAAGTTTTGCAATGCATGGAAGGTTTCAAAGGAAATCCCAATGTTAACATTTAGACTAGTCACTATGAAAATCCCTCACTCAACTCTTTGATAATTGGTGAGAACGGAGAAAACTAACCTAACATTTATGACGCCACAATGAAGTGAAAACTTAGAAGAGAAAAGACTTGGAGGAAAGTTCACCTTTATCAGGATTGGAGATCTTGAAATTTGAATTTCCAATCCAAAGATGAAAAAGGAGGAGGTGGGGGGCCCTTTGATAAGGGGCTGATTATGGCTCCAAAGGGGGAAAGAGAGATAATGTAGGAGAGAGAGAAGGGAGGGGCCGGCGGCTTACTTAGGGAGATGGGGCTTTAAATGGAGGAGTTAAGGCTTGCCCTGTTTAGAATCTTGAAATATGAAAGATTGTTTTAAATCAAATCCTATTTAAAATTCAAATAGACATGATTTAAGGGGCTTTCCTAAAATAGGGTTTCTCATTTAGGAAATTAAATCCAAATTCAAATTCAATTGAATATGAATTCAAAATTGTTTCCAAAGATATAAGGAGTTAATTTAGGAAGGGTTTTGAATGCTAGATTTGAAATTTTGGAGGCAAGGAAGGGTGGAAGTGGACGGCGGCTAGGGTTTGGGGCAAGGGAGGCCGACGACTATGGGAGGGAAGTAGCTTGGGGTTAGGTGGGTGTGGGGGCTGGCGGGCTGGGTTTAGGGCCTGTGATTTGGGGGGAAGAGGAGGTGATGGCCGATGGTTTAGGTGTAAAGGAGGTGGTGGCTAGCTGTTTTGAAGAGGTGGGAGGTGGTGGCTGACGGTTTGGAGGGGAAGGAGATAGTGGTCGGCAGTTTAGAAGGGGATGGAAGAGTGGACCGTGAGTACGGACGCTTCCTACTGCTGATGGGTAGTATTTTGCCCTCACCTAGGGACTTCACTCTCACAAGAACTCTCAATCCCTCCCAAAACATAAGTACATAAATTTTTTTTATAATAATCATCATTACCCTCCCCAAAAGAGGAGGGACTATAAATAATCAAATACAATAGTAAAAATAAAAAAAGACAAAAGTGCCCCATGGGATCACATGAACCTATTCCCTCAAGTGAGGGTAAAAATGGAAAAGGTATAGTAAAAAATCAAATACAAATAGCATCTCAAAAATAGAATGGTGTAATCATGGTCGTGGATCTCCGGCCTCTCATCTGGTAAACTCTCCACTGTCGGATGTCCTCATCATGAGTACTAATGTTTTTTTTTTTTTTTAGTGAAGTTTTATTTTGTCTTCAATTAAATGTTATGAAAGATAATGCATACTTATGAAATATGTATTGTTAATTAGATCATGATTTATGTTTCTCATACCTAATGATTGATCATATTGAGTTAAATGAAAATTTATATGTTATATTTCACATTATCATAGAAAATTCATGAATGTTATAAGAATGAAATGAATAGATATATATATGGTTACATGTGCATGTTGACTGATGGAGCACAACACTTTATGGTACTGGCTGGGGACGCAATGTACCTGTGCATATAAATGAAAAAGGTTATGAAAAAGAAAAAGATAATGAAAAAAGAGTATCCTCATTGGTACTAAATTAGATGGTGCCTTCTGTGAGGATTGCATTATTAAGAAAGGATAAAGATACGATATATTTGACATATATGATATATGCATAATATAAAATGGGCACTTTTTGAATTTGAAATAATTAAATAGAATTAAGTTATGTTTTGAAATGATCATGCATATTATTTTTAATGCCTTGGATTACTGTAATTTTAGAAGCATGATTTACTCACTGAGTTATGTTATAACTCACTCTTCATTTTGAAAAAAAACATTTACAGGTATAACACCATTAGCTAAAATGAGTAGAATAAATGAGAACGTATACCATAGGTGAAGCGCTCTAGCTGAAAGTTTTTATGTAGTTTTGTTTTAAATTTAGAAGTTTTAGCGGCTATTTCATCTTATTGAGATTGTTTTAGATTGGTAGTAATAGTATTAATCATCCGACCATTATTCTCCACCTCATTAGTTCGAGCATCCGGGCCGGATCATGACAAAAATCATTTTGTACCTTCTCACTTTACCATCAAGAAGACGCTCATAAAACTTCTTTATCATTCTTTTCAATAGAAATTGTCGTCTTATTTCGCATCTAATTTGATTCAACTAAAGAATTTCATTTTAACACTCGTGCCTTTGTGGTGGAGCTTATTTATTTATTTATTTACTTTCTAAGATTATTTTCTGTTATACTTACAAGAATTGTTGTTTGGAAACAATCACACATTATGCTTTTGTCCTTCTTCAATTATGTCCATGGTCAGGCCTCGTTAAAATCGCATAAGCTCAACAGAGAAACCAAGAAGTTTCTCCATTTTATAGCTTGCTGTACAAGTCTTTGTTTAGATTTATTGTAGACTTAAAATAATAATGAGAAGCACTAACAGATAGAAATGCTGATTAACAACTATTGCATCTTTGAATCAGATTTTACAAGAAGTTGCTAAAGAGCTTGAGAACTTGAATTCACAAATTGCTGGAGAAAATGTTAGGATTAGTAGATGTTCCACAGGATATTATAGACAGAGTGAAAGTGGCTCTCATAACTCTAACAATGGTCATAAGGTATGATCGATCTTTTTTGAAAAATTTCTTTTAAATTTTTTTTATTTTTTGTATGCATTATGATTTTTTTTTTGTGGTGATTGAGATTAGTGCTTCCATTTGGAGAATCGTTTTTAATTTTTACTATATGATGTTCTCATCAAATCACTAATTTAAGGCAAGATTCTTCAAGAAAAGTCAACTAAACGAACTAGTCTTCAAGAATTAGATATGTGATTTGCATGATTTCTGCGGTATTCTTTGGCATATATGAAAATAGAAACATGTCTTTATTGAATATTGATCCCCTCTCAATTATTTTGGAAACATAATATTTTTAAGTTTTCTTTTTTATGAGACATAATTATTTATAAAAATCTCTGCATTAACTTCATCAAACATACACTAGCCATGGTCATATTGTTGAACCTGAGTTATGATTTGTGCACCATGGTGAAATTGAATCAAAATCTTACTACCTCTAGTTAGTCTTTCCTGCCTCAAAAACATATCACCTTTATTTTTTATCTGGGGAATCCTAAGCAAGAAAATTTTGTGTTTGATGCCTTTCTTTTCTCCCATCTCATTTCGTCCTTCTTTAAATGAATATCCTTTTTTACTTGGCTTGCTACTTAGTTTATTCTGATATGCATCTTCGGTCGCTTTTGTTTATTCTGATATGCATCTTCGGTCGCTTTGGTAGCATTTTAGACTTTTCTGTTTCAATTCATAATCACAGTTGCTAAAATGTGCTATATTTTGTTCACAGGATATTTATCACGGTATGTTCAGGTGTGGTTTCTATTCACTCAAAGTATTAGAATTTTTTTTTTCCGATGATTGGGTAGCTGATTTGTTGTCTCAAAATAACAGAACTAAAGGAAGAACTATCGATCGTAGAAAACATGTTGAGCTGATCTGTCCCACTGCCACAGATATAATGAGTAGATATACAACGTTTCAAGACTTTCCATTCAATCCACATTTTGATATCAATGTGAATGCGGTTAATCATTACTTTCCCTCACCTGCTATTTCCTATGTGGAGGCTCCTCCTGTTATTGGTCATGTTTCTCAAATAACTTTTCCTGAGCCAAACAAATTGCATGTGGAAGCATGTAACGAGTCCTCAACTTCCAAGGCTACAAAAGATGTGCATATAGTGAGTTCACTGATCTTCATTTGTTTCTAGTTTGTTTATGATGGCGTCATTTATGTTTCTTAAGGTTGTATTTAATTCCAAAATGTGGCATTATTTGCATATTCATAATTTGGTCTTTCTTTATTTGATCCTTCAACTTTCAAATCCTTTCATATCTTTAATTGATTTTAATCTGCAGTCCGCAGGTCTGATGGAAGAGTTTATGGAACTTGCTAAAGTCAATACTGAGAAGGACTTGGAGACTTGTGGAATACTTGGTGCCTCCCTCGTATGCTTGGCATTCACTTTTTTTGTTTCATGGAACCGGATGTTGTTTCTTCTGATCACCTCTAGCCCTCTCTCTCTCTATAAATTTGGCCTTACCTGTTTCATTTACTAGTTTTTGAATTTATACCTTACAATGCAGAAGAAGCACACTTATTATATAAACACCCTGGTAATGCCTAAGCAAGAATCAACTTCCAGTTCTGTACGTCAGTGCCAACTTCTTTTACTTACCATTCATAGATATTCTGTTCCCCTGCTGCCATCATTTTATATTGAAAAGCTTTTTTTTTTCTTTTATTTTGTGCCAAAATTGACGGCTTATTCCTAAATCTCAGTGTCAGGCATTAAATGAAGAGGAAATTCATGCTATATTGGATGGGGAGTCTCTTTATCCTGCAGGATGGATCCATGTGAGTAGTAGTATTCTCCATAGTAAGCTATTCCTATTTTTAAGAAAAAAATAAAGTTTGTTATTCCGTATATGTGGATCCTTGTAATTTTTTTTTTGGTACTGCTTAATTTACGTGGTCTAACAAACAGAAAGTATGTTAACAAATGGCAAATGCTGTCTGCTTATTCAGCAAATATGGCTAAAAAGCCTTTTCATGTCATATGTGGAATCTGTCATGTAATTAGTGGTAAACTGTTATGCCGGTCCAGCATGGACCGGCTCAACCTGGACCGGCCCAGCCGGTCCAAGTTTACTTGAGGCGGAGGCGTCCCAGGGAGCAGGCGGAAGGGGGAATAGAGGTGGGGGTGGGGTCCACTTGCAATTCAAACATAGTTTAAGTATTTTTGGAGGGAGAAGGAAGGGTAGAGAAGTCCTTTTGCTTTTAATTTGAATTAGATTGTATGAATAGGGAGTTATGAGGGGATTAGGTTTTCATCTTGATTTTGAAAAGAGATTTGTCTTCTAGGTTTTCTTGCTTCGGCTCTTGGCGTTGCCGGAGATTGTTGGAGAGTTTTTCCTTCCTCTCGGATTGAAGGAAACTTGTATCTTTATTGTCTTTGGCATCGACTAGTGAAATTTCTATCGTTTGCAATTGTTTCTCCTATTCTCTCTACGATTCTTCTCAGATTTTTCCACTGTTTTTGTGCTTGGTGGCTGTTTTCCATAGAAAACAGCGGATTATTAGTGATTTGGCTTAGATCCGATAGGAATCACTTGAAATACTCAAGTGGTACCTATCATAAACCCAGAGTGATGAAAAAGTGATTGATGTGGCAATAAACAATTATTTGGGTCCAAATTAAAATGTTAGGGAGTATGGACCATAGGGGGGCAAAGTTTGGCCATATGCATTGTGGTCTATTCTTTTTTAACTGAAATGCTTAACATGTTTGCATGTGTGAGGTCAACCAATAGTATTAATATAATTTTTGTTTGGAAGCTCCATGACAAACCAGCTGATTGGAAATCAAAGCCACGGCTTGATAGAGACAACAAAGCTTATGTGACTTCCAACTCTGAGAGTGCTTATGTTTTTGAGCCTAGCCCATTTAACAAAGATCAGATGAATTTGTAGCAGAAATAGTATAGTCAAGTTAGCAATGGTAGCATTATTGGGACATATTTGGTTGCTTAAACGGTTTCACATACTGCCTTCACTATTAATAGAGGAGACATGAGGTTGTGGATAGTCGACATTGGTGCTTCTGATCATATGATAGGAGATACTGCTCTTCTCCAAAATTACAAGCTAAGTGGCAGTCACTTGTTTATTTGTATTGCTGATGATTCAAATTCTAAAAATGTTTGAACATGTTCCATCCAACTTACTAAAGAGTTGTATTCAACTCTATCATCCTGTTGATCCCTACACATCAAATCACATGCAAAAAGGGCCAAAATCGGTGAATCAAGCAACCCCGCTTCAACGCGTTACTTGAAGGGTCAAACAACCACCGATTAACAAGCGGACTGCACTGTTGCAATCAGGACATCGAGTTTTCTTAAGAGGAGAACCCCTCACAGTCAAATCGGACGAGATCCGTCCAACGGGATGACCAACATCTGAAATTGAAGCGTGACGTCACCCAAACGATATCTGATCGCGAAAAGGATTTCGTCGTCACATCTGGAACATTGTTGACACCCAAAAACCACTATCAACTTGTTTGATTGGAATCACCAGGCGAAATAGCACAAATCCCGAAGCAACAACGTACAAATCGAGGAAATTAACGCGCGACGTTGCCCAAACGACGTCTGATCGTAAAACGGATTTCATTGTTGCATCCAGAACGTTGTCAATACCCAAGAACGACCATTAATTTGTTCAATTAAGATCATCCGGCAAAATCGACACGAATCTCGAGGCGACGCTCGCAAATCAAGGGAATTGACGCGTGATGTCACCCAAACGACTTTCATTCACAAAATAAATTGTACTGTTGCGATTAGAATGTTGACAACAACCTAAATACACTATAAGTTCACCCAACAAAAATCACGCACACAAATTGGCGCAAGTTCAAAGGCGATTGCGGCAAATCAAGGGAATCGTGCGTGAATCAAGGTGAATTTGAGGTGATCAACTCATTTCTGCCGTTTTAAACTAGTAATAATAATAATGGTATCAAGTCACTGTTAATAATAATATTATTAATTTAAATAAAAAATCAATTAAGATCAAATTAGCACAAAAATCACGACTAATTACCTCGTATCATTTAATCAAATCTCCAGATATCCCACTGAATACCTCAAACAGATGCTTCGCATATTCTCCCTTGCCCTCGTCTTGAATAATGGAGAACCTCATCGTTAAAATGAAACTAAACATGCTCACCTAGGCTCTATTATCTGAGAAATTATTACGTGCGGAGTTCGGACGTAGAGATATGTCCGGACATCTACTTAAAATTTGACACGTGGAGTGCACTTTGGTTGCACTTTTTTGTGCGTTTTACTTGCTCTTTACCTGCACTTTGACTACTCTTTTATTGTGTTTTTTTACCGCGCTTTTGGTGCACTTGGTTTGAAGTTCCGCGGACACATTAAATATATAAAGTAAAAAAGTAAATCCAATTGAATATCCACTTGTCCATTCAACGTTTCAACATTTTATTTATGTCCTCTCGGCACCTAATAAATTTTCCTATTCTCCGACTACGCATGAGCAAATCCCTCTTCAACCCGACCGAGCTTCTCCCTTCTATCTCCAACCACCATGACGCACGATCCCACCTCCAAACCTCCCTGATCCGTCCGTCTTTGCCTCACGTTCGAAGCCTCTCTCAAGCCATCGAACCAGTTGCTTAACACGTGACCTGTGCTCGAGCTACCCCTCCAACTCACGACCCCTTCAGTCCATCAAACACCCATCCTTCCTGCCGTGCAGTCCAAGAATCCCTTCTTTCTTCTTCCACATCTCGGTCCAGACTCTCCTCCCTCCCAGTTCTTCCCAACCACAGTTCCCATCACTGTATTGGAGTTTCCAAGATCTTGTATAGGCTCTAACTGAGCCTTTCTTCCATCTGGCTGCCCAGCTTCCAGCCGAACTCTACCTGGAAGCATCCAAGGACCGAAACCCTCCTCCTCCAGTTCCTTCAGTCACAGCTCCCTGGAATTCTTTTACCTTCTGCCAGTTCCTTCTTTCCTTGGCCGCTGTTCACAGTAGTCTGAAGGCTGAAATTTCAGCCTTCCTGTCCATTTTCTGCAGCGAGAACAGCAGCCCAGGCTTTAAGAACCAGGCCTTCTTCCCTCCACCCTTCCAGGATTGCTGTCTCCCAGCTGTCCAGCATACGGATCCTGCTGCTCACAGCTAGTTGGTTTATAATTACTGAAAAATGGTTTGGATAGGTAAAATTGTGTGGTGAGCTTTAGAAGAGCTAATGTTATTGGAGATTGTTATAATTGATGTCTTAAAGTAAAATCAACACAAAATGTAGCACTAAATATGAGTGTTAAGGGGTTAGAAGCTGGCCAACGTAAAAGCTAGGACTACTATGCTGTAGTGAACTAATGGTCTTTAGAGGTATACAGATTTTGCATTTTGCTAGCTTTGATATTTACAAAAACTCATTGAAATTACATGTTGAGTTTTAACATTAGATATAGTAAATGATAAGAATCATATGCAGGCTTGTAATTGCTTTCATCATTGTTTTTCCTGTAATTGAAACTGCACTAATGCATTTTGACAATATGTTTTCATGAGATGGGGTTGAATTATTTGTTTCTTCCGCAAGACAAATTCCCATCCATTGCTAGCTTAAAAGTTGTACTGAATTATTCTTTTATTTTGTGCATTATAATACTTTGTAGCCTTTCTTTGTTGATTTTGATCCTTTATCATTTGATAGTCAATACTTATATTTTTATTTACTTTATGCAGACTCATCCTTCTCAAACCTGCTTCCTTTCATCAATAGATTTGCATACACAATACTCTTACCAGGTGCTGAGATTTTTTTTATTTATTTATTTTTTTTTTTGTGAGAGTTTTAAAAAGACTGTTTTGTATAACTTTTAGAACGTTTAATATGCCCATTTTTCTATTATGAAGAGTAGTGGAAATATTGATTACATAAATATCCATAAAAGTGCAAATATAACTATTGTAAGATGAAAATTGATCATTGAGTATTAGATTAGTTGGCATTCCCTCTCTTTCTCAAAGTGTGACGAGGGTTCAAATCCCACCCATGTTTAGGTTTCCAAATAAAATACAGCAAAAATAAAAAATGCTTCATCTAAAGCAAAAGGGTGCATAAATTACAAGTTCTGAAAGCATACACAACTATTCAATTAAATTTGAGGAGAAAAATAGAAGTAACAAGGTCATAATTTTGTGGCACCAAAGAAGTTTTCCTTTCTTTGCTTCATTTGTATTCTCTCGCTATATCATCAATTCACTTCTTTAATTTTTATCTAGGTCATGCTACCTGAGGCTGTTGCCATTGTAATGGCTCCTACAGATCCTGAAAGGTATTTTGGACTTTCTTCACAGTTTTATTTGTCCTGTCCTGATTGTTTGGTTGTTAAAGTTAATTTTTACCTTACAAAAGGAACACGTTATGCAGATTAACTTGAGAGCCAACCCTTAAGGTAAGGCTGTTTTAGGGATTGAAAGGTGGGCTGGGAGCCCTCGTCTTTGAGAGTTTGGGGGCAGAGCCCGCCACAAGAGATCCAAATTCACGATTATTTCATTAAGGGCATTTTGAAAAAAAATTATTGTGTTATTCTTACGTGGTGCAAAAGAAATCATAATTTTTTTTTTTCACTATCAATTATTTGTGAAATTTCTCGTTGACACAACAATACATAGTCATTAATTTGCAAGCCATAATAAAATTTTGGTGTATTTTTATGCTTTATTATTATTATTATTATTATTTGGCCTTTTGTGTTTGTTAAAGTTTCTTCTATTTCCCAATGCTAGTTTTCCCCCATGCATCTATTTCCTTACATTCATGTTCATGGGACATGCTATCTTTTGCTTACCCCTCAAACATAAACAAAATATATTTTCCCCAACTCAATATCATATATAGGCTTCGTTTGGGATAGCTTTCTTTCTGCTTCTTGAAGCAGCTTTCTAGTAAAAAAAAGTTAAAATTTTTGTACTAAAAAATTATTTTAAAAAGCAGAAAGAAAGCCGCCCCAAGCGAAACCATAACTTAATGCTTAAAACTAAGCTTAGTGTTCATTATAACTTCAAAATTGATTTTCTCATGTCTTTCTGAGAAATAAAATTGTTAGATTTGCTGATATAAGCTATAATACCAAAATGGATGTGACATTCATTGAATATGCTTTGAGATTAGTGTGTTATAATCTCTTCATATAAATTGGTCACATCCAATACTAAATTCATTCTAATCCCAATTTCTAATTTGTTTTTTCCCATATCTTTCTGATTCTTTATATCTGTGCAGAAAAAGTGGAATATTCCGGTTAACAGTTCCAGGAGGTATCAATGTAGTCGGACAATGCGAGGAGAGGGGTTTCCATCCCCACCCAGAAACCGCAGATGGCGGTCCAATCTATGAGAACTGCTCCGATGTGTTCATTAATCCAAACTTGAGGTTTGAGATCTTCGATATGCGCTTGCGATCGACTTACTGAAATACCATTGCAGTGTTCCTGAACAGTATGAATACCTATTTGTTAGCCTCACTGTAACAGTTTATATCTTATAGGAACAAAGCGCACAAGCATAGTTGATATGTTTGGATAATTCAGGTGATGAATTATATACAGCACAAAATAATTTTTATTTTTATTTTTTTATTGTGAATAGCTAATATTATAGTATGATCGATTCCTGATAACCAACAATATAATATTTTTTAGTTGTTTTGAATATTTGAATTTGCATTTATGATTCAAATTATTTGCTGAGAACAAAGGGATGGTTTTGGGTTATGAAAAATTTTCATGAGCAAAAAATAGTAGAAGAAATTTTTGTTAAATTAACTTAAAAGGAGTTTTATTAATTTATAGATTCGGACATTTTTGTCATTATTTGAAATATGTTTCATGTTTATTCACAATAGTCGATGCAGATCAAATAATTTCATATTTGAATATTAATTGAATTGTGGATGCCTCTATGTGAGGTGAAATTATTCTATGCGGACGCCGAATGCAGTTGATTGTCCGGAGACCAATTAGAATGAGTCACGTAACCCCCTACTCGATACCCGGCTTGGTACTGCTCGGTACCGCTGATGTGGCGCATTCTGGTTAATGTTCGGACAGTGAACTGCGTTCGACATCCGCACAGAATAATCTCTCGTCTATGTGAGGGTGCTAGCCAAGTATCATCAACAATATCTCTAGTAATAAATTTGAACATACCAATCATATACAAAAGAAAAAAATTATTCAGCCCATTTGTAGTGAGCCAAATGATGCAGGGAGGATCATCGTTGCTTGAATGGATCCAACAAGAGCAAGAGATAATATATCATCATTTTATCATGAACCAGCTCCTTTTACCTAAAGAGTAACAAGAGATGGATATTTCAAAAATAGTGAATATAGTCAGGGATTATCTTTTGATTTTATTTAGGGCATGATGGTGATTATAGTCATGAACAATGTGGATGTCACAAATATTGGTGTGTTTTCTATGGTCAATGTGAGGCAGAGTTAGAGACGATATGTATAGGAACAGCGACACAATATCCAGGATGATGATGTGAGATCACCGGTTCGAGGTCGTCGGTGTTGGGTTAGGGGCACTGGTAGGGGTTCGCGCTAGCTGCAAACTAGTTCTATGAGATAAAATTTCAGGACTACGAAAACTATGAAGTTTTTATTTTTATTTGGAATCCTAACCAATTATATTTGAGAATTTACATTATCACTGTTCGCTTTTGTCCGATCTTCTCTCCGATTCGGAGAATAGTCGTGCTCACCATCTTTGTCACCGTCCGAATCTATATAAATTTAGTCTTTTAACTAAAGCTTATCAATTTCTTATGAACAGCTGAAATAACTATGCATAGGAACGACAACACAGTATCTAGGTTGACGTGGACCTCTAGGATGATGATGTAAGATCACCCGATCAAGGTTGTCGGTGTGGGGTTAGGGGCACTGATAAGGGTTCGCACGAGCTGCAAACTAGTTCCACGAGGTAATGAATTTTCAATTCGCCCGCCCAATTTTCATAAATTATGAATTCCCAAAAAAAAAAGAAGATGCATTGTCATGGCATGTAAAGCAGAAGAAAAAATACATTCAGAGACACCCATCAGCGACAAAGACGCATCGCACTAACCTTGTTGATAGTTACCCATTTCTGAGCTAGTGGACAAAGAAGAGAATGGAAAGCGTGGAGTCTAGAACTGGGGAAAGAGGAGCAGTGACAGGGAACTGAATCGGATTCCCTGAAATGTGTTAGAGAATTAATGGAGTCCTCTTATTATCAAATGTGGATCATCTACTTTCCTCTCTTTCATTTCTATCTAATCACAAATTCCTGAGTTGGGGATGAGAAATAGCTAAAATTTCAATATTATTATATAGATTTTCTAATAAAATGAGGTATTTTGAAGATAAGCTTCTACATTGGGATATAGAGAATTTATTGAAGCTTATTTAATATATTATTTACAGGTTGATTGAGTGTTTACAAACTAAGATTGTAGACAATGATGGTTGGTCGAGTCAGGTGGGTATGCATGTGGACCCCACCATCATTTACTTTACTTTTAATTAACTTCAATTAATGATTTTTTTTTTAACTATTGTTATTTATTGCTCTTAAAAAAACATAAATTAGAGTATTATGACGCATTTTAGAAATTTTGTGAGGAATAAAATTCAGGACTACGAAAACTATAAAGTTTTTATTGTTATTTGGAATTGAATCCTAACCGATTATATTTGAGAATTTATATTTTCATTGTCCTCTTTTATTTGATCTTATCTCCGGCTCGGACAATAGTCGTGCTCACCACCTTTGTCACACCCCGGGATCTATATCAAAAGAATTGGATATGTATTTCAATTTAGCCATTTAACTAGAGTTTATCAATTTCTTAAGAATAGCAAAAGGAATTATACATGCTGTCCGGAGTCTCATATCATAGGATCCATATATTTTCATAAAAAAATATATGTAAAACCACATAATGAGCACATAACCTAATAAATAATCAAAATCTTATAATTGAAATCAATGCAAGGTAAAAGAGAACAGTTTGTTGTAAATCATATAAAGAAATATATGCATCAATATATCTATATTGGTTACATGTATCAATATTAAGTCTATAACATATCATATTTCAATCAATTTTGTTTCATTCTTCCATCATAAACTTAATCAATCAGTTAGTCAATTAATTTTTAGCACTCAATCAATTCCATCTAATCTTATCATCCATTCAGCTCATTTCAATATGTCAGTTACAATAATAGTATCAATAATAATTCTTAGTATCAATAACAGAACTGTATCAGTAATAGCATTAGTATCAATAATCAATATCAATATCGAAATCATTAATCAATATCAATATCAGTAATCATTATCAATAACAATTTCAGTATCAGTATTAGTATTTGACATTAAGATGAGGGTATCTTGAGTTTGCGGGTATCATGTGTAATCAATTTTACGAGTGAATTAGTATTATATCAAATATTCATGTGAGGGTATCTTAAGGGTATCTTGCTTCTATACTTATGACTCCTAATTAGCTGCCCCTTATGACTCCCAATCAGTATGCTCCTTATAACTTCCCTTAAATCACATGAATCAGTCGTTCTGACTCCTTATAAGCCCCAATCAACTTTCTAGTAACTAACTTTAATACTTATTATTGATTGAAGCAAGCACTCATGCAATCCACCTGCCGATCTAAAGTTGAAGAATTTATTTTCTCTTTCACTTTTTAGTTATTTATTTCTTTCTTATTTCTTAATAACAGCTAATATATAGTCATTTACAACCAAATCAATTTAACATCTAGAGCTGATTAATTGCATTACAAGAAATATAAACAATGAAAAATATAATTCACATTATTGTTGTAGTCAATATTTACATTATGTCTTTATGGTCCAAAATAATATATACAATAGGCTTCATAGGCTACAAAACTAGCAGTGCAGAAATAAATCTATGCGTGTTATAGCCTCAAGCTGCTGGCTATTTTTTCTTTATCTAAAATCATGTCAAATCACTTAATGAGCATAAAAGTCCAACAAATGACTCAAATTTTATAACTAAAATTAATGCAAGGCAAAAGAGAAACAACATGCTATAAATCCTATAAGAATGTCAACACATCAATATATACCATTCATATCGGTCACATGTGTCAATCAATTAGTATCATTCAATCATTCTCTTCAGTCTATACAATAGTGTGGTATTTGTAATTAGTAACAGTAAGCAGTAACAGAAATTAGTGTATGTAAGGTTAATGTCCTACACTATTAGTAATAATAGTCAGTATTAGTAATCAATATGAGAAATCAATATTTGTAATAAGTAATTAGTATCAGTAATTAGTAATCAATATTAATAATTAATTATTAGTGTTAGATCTTTAGATGAGGATATCTTGCTCATACACTTTTGACTCCTAATCAGTCTCTCTTTATAACTCTCAATTAGTGTATTCCTTATAACTCCTCTTGAATCACATGAATGAGTCGTCTCAACTTCTTATAACTCTCAATTAGTCTGCAGCTCCTTATGACTCCATCGAATAATCAGTGAATATTGAGATTATCACGTGGGTTATCATATCATATATATCAAGTGTTATATCCTTTGTCACATATTTAACAAGTAAAAATGCAATAAAATCATATCATATTGTTCAGAACAATCAAATATATAACTTATCAAATGTTACACAGTGAAATTTTACAAAATCAAAAGATGCATCGATTTCTTTCTGAGCAAGCAAAGAGTGAGGGAAGGAGGTGGGGTGAAATGGCATAGGTATTTAGAATTATATATACACTTTTAGTTGGGCAGCACTACACTGCTCAAATCCAATACCACGACGCTGCATATTAAATCTAAAATTATTGTAGAACAGGTACTCAAACTCCGCATCAGTAATTTTTCGCATCGCTATGCTCTCAAACTTAAAGCCGTAGCGCTCACAAGCAAAGTGCCGAATCACTCTAGTTCAAATAGAAATTCAAAATTTTGTTTTTTTTTTTTTTAATTACTTTTTATCTTTGAGTTGTTACACCGCCATCCATGAACTCTACGCCCTCTACAACAGTAGAAAATGGTGGGTATTTACAATTTTAAACCTATGTAGTCTATGTAATATTTTACATGGTTAGAAATATATTTAAAAAAAAAAAAACTTATAAAGGAGATTTATGAGAGCGCAACTGCCAACTTTATGGCCACCCGTGAAAGCAAATATAAATGTGTAAACAACAGAGAAAAGTTGTACTTTATTTAGAATTTGCTTGCTCATCTTATCTTGTGACTACTTCAGATTGGCAAGAATTTAGGTGGCTGCCCACCAATCACATGAAAGTGGGAAGCCCACCGTCCAAATAAAAAGCCTAACTCTATAGCGACGTAGTAACAATCAAAACTTTGCTGTGAATATATAATTCTAAAATGAAAAATCCTGAAACTAAAGAGAGATAATAAAAGGGAAAATGAAAAGGAAATATTGATAATCTTATTAAGTCGTGCATTGGAATCGTGTAAATCATAATTTTTTTTTTTGTTTTGAATTATAAATAGCATTGCTCAAATATTTTTAAAGAAGAAGAATATTATTAAGAAGAAGTCATTTGATTTGCTTGAAAAGAAATGTAATACATTTAAAATATTTGGAGATATTTGAGTAAGTATTATATAAATATAGATGATTTTTATTGTCTGAAGTGAAAAAATATATATATAATATAATATTCAACGACAATAATAGCTGATAGCGACGAGCTGCGATAGTAAGCGGTGGAAGCCGATGGAGAAAGTGGTAGGTGGTGGGACTGACAGCAGCGGCAATGGCCAACAGCAAGTGACAGGCGATGGCAAGTAGCGATAGAAGATTATAAATATTTATATTATTCTTTTATTTGTATTTTCCTTGTACAATATATTTACGAACAATAGAAGTTAATAATCTGTTTGTTTGAACTCATGCTTCTACAATATATAAGAGTCAAAATCAATAAGCGCTGGCTAACATTTTAATATATTTCAGCTGTCAAAATATAAAATTTTATTTACTTTGTCAGATAATAAAGGTTTTGGTTACCATTAATAAATTTTTATATAAATTTTCCATTCGAATTTAATAGTCTGAAGAAGATTGGATGGCATAAGTGCATAACATTAAATATGAAAAGCAGCATCCATATTTAAATGTAAGATAATTCCAACATTTATGAATAAGTTGGATTTGAGCATAAAATTAATGTTAGTTTTTGACACCTTTTTTATTTTTATTTTTATTTTAAAGGACAAATGATAAATTATAAAATATGTGGCTCAAATCAACCGGTATAAAGAAATTATAAATTATGTGGTTCATGTAGATTTTTATGCTTATAGTTTAAGATAATGATTTTTTTTTCTCTTATATAATATCAAATTAAAGATTTTGATTATTTTTATTTCAAAAATATTTATGAATTGATAGAGAGACTTGAAGTATATTAATTTATTAAGAAGATAATCGGATAATGAATAAATTATGTAAAAAATTTATTTATAAAACGACAAGCTAACTAACAAAGCAGGGAGGCTTCAGAAATTCTATAAAAAATTTATTTCAGAGATTTTACTGGAAAAGTAGTTAAAAACATCTTATGGACTTTTTCATAAATTTTGTATGCAAAAGAAAAATAAGTCTCCATAAAAATTTAAAATTTATTCAAATAAATTATAAAGGTTATATTAGATTTTATGCATTTGTAAAAATAAAGATAATGGTATGCAGTATGCACAATATTAAAATCTTACAGATTTATAAACTAATATCGAAGCATTTATATTTATAATAATAACGTACAAATTTTAAAAATCACAACAAAATTTTCTATTTTTATTTTTAATAGTCTTATGAAAATTCATCTAATCAATATGAATCTTAAGGAAATAGTTGAATTAAAATTTTATGTAATCATATCTAAGATCCTCTAAACTTTGTAATTAATTTAAACATTTAAAGTATATTTGAAAGCTTCTGAATATTAACTAAATGACAAAATGGTCTCAAAATTTTACGTGCATATAATCAAATCAACCGACTTGATAAGATTTATTCAATGAGCCTAATATCATTCGATTCTAAAATCAGTAAAACACTCAAATGCTAGATAAATGATCTATGATCAAAGGGATCAATATGAATTGCTCAATGAGTGTCATATATTGTTACTAGAGTTACCAAAATATTCCTCTCAAAAAATTATAAAGAGGACCTCATTTTTTATATAAAGAATGTTCGAGAGCTAAGAGAATTAAAAAACTTAATTTTATTTTCCAGCAATCATCATCGATGACCAACATCAATAATCACAGCCACCACTAACTAAATCTGGTCATCTGAATATTGTTTATTGACTACTAACACCAAACATTATTAGTGGACTTCAATTGCCCTAATATAGATATTAGATTTAGGTAATTCCCATGACAAAAATCAAATAAAATTTTTTTTTTCAATTATGTAATTTCATCTTCTTTAGTTATAGAGAAAAGTGAATTCTTGTACCTCCAATTATATAAGGAATTATGGTAACTGAGCTAAGCCCCGTGACTTTTCTCCTTCTTCGATTTTCCACCGAGAAAATTTTAGCCTCCTACAACTTCTATAAGTGCATGCATGAATTTTTTTAAAAAACTAAGATATTAAATAGACAATCTACAGTTATAATTTTTTTAGTACGTAACATTTTGGCACCAACTAGTAGAAACATATTTCAATAGTCTAAAAATATAATGGCTAATATGAATAATATTGTAGCTTGTAGATTTTTTTCATTCCAACACATGTCAAAATACTCATAGAATATATCCTAATAAAATTTATATCAAGATAGAGCTACTTTTAAAACTCATCTCATTAATTTCATTTTTCATGTGTTCTCTCTCAATACAACTAAATAATTGAGCAAATACAATTAAACTATTAAATAAATACAATTAAATTATTAAGTAAATGACTTTTTTAAACATTCATACATAACACAAAATACTTTTTCTTATTAAGCTCATACTTGTGAATGTCAATTAATTTAATTATGTTTGTCTAATGATTTAATTATATATTTCTAATATTTAAGAATAACATGTGAGGTGAAAAACTAAGAATCGTCCTCATTGAAAATACATAGAATTTTCTCTAATTATTTTTATTCTTACAAAACTTCTAATAAATTGTATTTATTTTACCCACCATTTAAAATTTAATCAACTTGCAACTAAATAATTCATAATTGCAATCTTAATCAAATTATTATGATTTTTTTTTTTTCAAATTACATAAGGGCTCTATAATACTTTTTTAAAAAATTATGTAAAATCTTTTTGAGGGTCTATAGTTGTAAATGAATCAATATATACACAATAGAATAATATCATATATTTTTTATTTAAAACATATTTCTATTAATTATTTAAATAAACTTTTGTTACTTGAATTTAAAATTTGTAAATAAATTTAATCATAAACTCACACATATAATTTATATAAAATACCTATAAAAAAATTATTAGAAGCTTTGTCAACCTACATGCTAAGATGTGCATAAATTGACTCATCATCATATTAAAGTTATTATTTTTAGACAACAACAACATCATCATCATCAAGCATTTGTCCCACGTAGGCTACATGAATCTTTTTTCTCCATTGTCTTATGTCAAAAGTCAAATTCTCATTTAAATCTAACAAAGAATAATTTTTTATATTATCTAACCAAGTCTTTTTAGGTCTACTTCTATCTTTCATAACATATGTCAAATCTAATACCCCTACTTTCCTAACTGTGTCATCGGAAGGCCGCCGTTTATGTGACCAAACCATCTAAGTCGACTCTCTCTAATCTTATCTTCAATTACTTGAGCTATTCCAACATTTTCATGTATATGCTCATTTCGTATCCTATTTCTAAGGGTGAAGTCACTCATCCACTTGAGCATCCTCATCTCAATAAAACTTAACTTAGCATTATGCTTCCCTTTTAATGGTCATCATTTGACACTATAAAGCATTGCAGATCTCACCATCATCTTATAAAACTTTTCCTTAAATTTGAAGGGGACTTTTCTATCATACAATAAATCTGATGCATTCCTTCATTTCAACCATCCAAAATGAGGAAGATAAGATTAGTGTTTGAGGAAAAACAACAATACAAATCCAAATGATTAATTGACTTATTGTTTTTTCAAGTTCACATATTCAATATACATTTAATTTATTGCTTAAAATTTTAAAAAATAAAGAAAAAGACAAATATAAATCTGTAAAAGTGGTGGCACCACTTTTTAAATTAATAAACAACTTACAAGTTATTTTCACATCAATTATTTTCCTAAAAACACTCAGCATTCACATTAAAAAAAACAGTGCAAAAGCATTAACGATAACAAATTATGGGAAAAAGATGAGCAACTTTCTAAAATGGATGGTGGACTCGGCTGATGCCGTTCACACTGGCAAAGAAGCCCACAATGCCTGGTTTATATGGCAGAAACGACTTCCGGCCAGCGCTGCCTGGTCTCGCCGTGGCCCCCTGCCCAATCCGATCGTAATGCCTTCTATTAGCTGCTACGATATCCACCTCCATCGCCTTCTTCCCCTTCTCCTTCTTCTTATCGTCTGTCTCCAGGAACACAAACTTCTCCTTCCCGTCGCTATGGCTTCTCCGGATCACAAGGTCACGTATCCGCCATCGGAGCGCGGATCCCGTCGATACGCTCTTCCGGCACTGCTCCGTCGACTTTGGCTTCCACACGCAGTATGTCTCCGGGCTGATGCCCGTGAATTCGTCAGAGGAGCTGCTCGCCGGCTGCGAGATTTCGGTCTCCCGCTCTTCCTTCATCAGCCGAAGCAGGGGCTGCCGTAAGGCTTCCGCCCCGTCGAGGAGGAGTTCGCGGTTGAAGATAGGGTAGACGGGACGGATCTGGCCGTTATAGAAGATCTCATCGGCCGTGATTAATGAATCCGTGTCGGGATCCCGAACCACAAAAGCGAACTCGAAATCATCGTCTTCGTCGTCATTCTCGTCGGTTTGGACTGAGACGGCAGCGAAAGATGGCGCGGCGGAGCTCTGCGGCGGGGAAGCTGCGTAACTCTGGTCGATATCTTCGGGAAGCTGCCGGAGGCGGAAGGAGGCGGTAAGCGTCTCAGGTGATTCGGCTGCTTTCTCTCCGAGCATCCTTTCGCTTTCTATTTCTTGCTTTCTTCTATCTGGCTGTAGCGACGAGGTGCTGAGGACCGTAGGTTTAAAAAGGCAGATGAAAGGCGTGAAACGCGGCGTTGAAGATTGTGCCGTTTAGATGGTTGCATTGACGGCTTTGACGAGTGGCGACTGATTCCCATTCCGTCAGTGGAGCTCGCACGTGTAGTAGGCTTTTACACGTGGTAGGATTCTAGAAGAACGATTCCGTGATGAGTTCGAGCCTTGGAGGCTTGGACAAAAAGAAACCGGAGAAAGTTGACGGATTGACTTAAATATGTTAATATAGTATTTAATTTAAGATAAATAGGATTCTTCAATTTAATGTTATATAAATTACTTTTAAAAAATTAATTTTGAAATAAAGAAAATATTTGAACATATCAAAGGGAATTATAGTATGAATTTGTTGAGATGTACATCTCACTTTTAAAATAAAATTAAAATAATTTTTTTATTATTTAATATAATACAAAAGTTTAAAATTGATTGAAAATTAGTAGGCAAAATTATTCCACTACAATGGAATCATCTCTAATGATATAAATCTCATAGGCATTATTGTAGAACTGTGTTATTATCGTCTTAATCTTCTTTAAAGCTTAAATATATCATAGTTTTAAGACTAAATTTTTATTATTTTGCAAATACCTCAAGTAATCAAAAGATAGATTCAAATCAAAGAGGACTCATGATTAAAGCCAATAACATTGTTGTGGGCTAGAATATACGCGGCGATAGAGTTAAAATACTACATCTTAGTTTTGTATGAATATTCAGCTCATACACAGAGAACACAAGACGTTTTTACATGGAAAATCCTGGAAGGGGAAAAAACCACAGGGCCGGGCACAGTTTGAAATGATTCTACTAGTTATTGAGTAGATTACAATAGGCTGACTCGTCCCTGAGGGCGATCAGATTACAAATGTCAACCGTTTGGTTGAAATCTAGTGATAAATAGGGATGAAAGTACAGCGTCACTTGGTGGACTGGCAAAAGTTCGGTGCTACTTGAAAATTCGAGCGTCAGTTGGTGGTCCGGATGAACTCCAAGCCTCAGGTGGTGGTCCGGCGGAAGTCCGGGTCTCAGGTGGTGGCTTGGCAGAACTTCAGGCCTTAAGTGGTGGTATGGCAGAACTTCAGGCTTTAAGTGGTGGTCTGGTGGAAGTCCAGGCTTCAGCTGGTGGTTCGGCAAAACTTTGGGCCTTAGGTAGTGGTCTGGTAGAACTCTAGGATTCATGTGGTGGTCTGACGGAGGTGATGGCCTCAAGTGGTGGTCCGGTGGAGGTGATGGCCTCAAGTGGTGGTCCAGCGGAGCAACGACGTCAGGCGGTGGTTCGGTGGAGGTGAGGGCTTCAAGCGGTGGACTGGCGGACCAACGATGTCAGACGGTGGTCCGGCGGAGGTGAGGGCCTCAAGTGGTGGTCTAGCGGAGCAACAACGTCATGTGGTGGTCCGGTGGAAGTGAGGGCCTCAAGTGGTGGTCCAGCGGAGCAACGATGTCAGGCGGTGGTCCGGCGGAAGTGTAGGCTTCAAGTGGTGGTCTGTCAGAGGTGAGGGTCTCAAGTGGTGGTCCAGCGGAGCAATGACGTTAGGCAGAAGTCCGGCGGTGGTCGAGGACAAGCAAGGAGGCAAGAGCGATCTTTAGTCTCTCTCTTGAATCCTTTGGCTTGGGGTCCTTCTTCAAGAGAGGGGGCTATATTTAAAAAATTTTGGAGTGGCATGGCCCATAAATAGATGGGAAATCAAGGGCAAATGGGTGTAGTTGGATGGACGGCCATTGTTGAATCCCTTGATCATGGATAGGGGTAAAACCCCATTGTCTCCAGGGGGCAATTTATATTTTAGTCTTTATTATTGTTGCGGACTAGAAAATACGCGGCGATAGAGATTTAATTCTGCGTCTTAACGTTGTACGTATAACTAGCTCACACACAGAGAACACAAGATTTTTTACGTGGAAAACCCTTAAAAAGGGAAAAACCACGAGGCCTAGCCCAGTTGAAAATGATTCCACTAGACTTTGAGTTGGTTACAAAGGACTGAATCACCTCCAAGGGTGATCAGGTTACAATCAGTTACTTAAGTAAGACGTCAGGTCTTTGGGAGGACGTAGGGACTGAATGTCGGGTCCTAAGTAAGACGTCGGGTCTTCGGCAAGACGTAGGGACTGAGTGTCGGGCCTTGAACAGGACGTAGGGACCGAGTGTCGGGCCTTGAACAGGACGTAGGGACCGAGTGTCGGGCCTTGAACAGGATGTCGGGTTTTCGGCAGAAGGTAGGGACTGAGTGTCGGGCCTTGAACAGGACGTCGGTTCTTTGGCAGGACGTCGGGTCTTCAGTAGGACGTAGGGACTGGACGTCAGGCCTTAAGGTGGTGGTCTGGCGAGGTTCTGCGGTGGTCCGGCGAGGTTCCTGCGGTGATCCGGCGGTGGTCCGGCGAGGTTTCTGCGGTGGTCCGGCGGTGGTCCGGCGAGGTTCTGTGGTGGTCCGGCGAGGTTCTGTGGTGGTCCGGCGAGGTTCTGTGGTGGTCCGGCGGTGGTCCGGCGGCTGTCGAGGAGGAGCTCCTTCCTTCTCTTCTTCCTCTCTTCTCTTCTTCTCTCTCTTGCTTAGATGCTCTCTTGTGAAGAATGAGGGCTCTATTTATAGATTTTCTGGAGTGGCATGGTCCGTAAATAGGTGTGAGATCAAGGGCGAATAGGGAGTGGTCAAATGGACGGCCGATATTGAATCCTACGATCGTGCACCGTTCGTTGGACATTTGGAGGCCTTAACCCCCCCTCTGAAAATTATAGCTAGTTCCACCCCTGATCATGGATCGTTTGATGGACATTTGAATGTTTTAGTGATGTCAAAATTCACTGATCTTGGGCTTGTTGGATTCATCTCGTCAAGCCGCCCTATTTGACTTAAGCATGTTATGTTTGGAAAACGTTTGGAAATCTAAATTGTGGGTTGAACCTTCCAACAGTGCTTCTAATCCTTAATTTGGACACATTTGGGCTCAGATTGGGTTGGATTTGGTGTCATTGGGTTTGTATTCTTGAGACGTTTAGTTTGACTATAAGTTTGATAAAATCGGAGTTCATATGGTCCCAATTTTAATTTTGAAAGTTTCCAACTTGATTTTGCATCGAGATTCGTGTCTGATCAAGATAATTTTTTGATGACGTATCAAATATAAATTCTTAAAAGCTACAATAAATTCTAAATACTTCCAACCAAATGGCCCATCATAAGAGAAAATCTCTTAAATCCGAATATCTTTTTTTTTTTCCGGAAAATTATTAGGTGCAGACACCGAACCTAAAGATACGTCTGGACGTCCACTTAAACTTTGACATGTGGAGTGCACTTTAGTTGCACTTTTTGTACAATTTTATATACGTTTTAGTTGCACTTTAGTTGCATTTTTATCTGCGCTTTAGTTGAAATTTATTTGCGCTTTGACTGTTCTTTTGTTGCACTTTTTTACTGTGCTTTGACTGCGATTTACCTGCACTTTTTGTGCTTTGGTTGCACTTGACTTAAAGTTCCCGAACACATTAAATATATAAAGTAAAAAATAAATTCCATTAAATATCCACGTGTCGATATTTTATTGGAGTCCAGACCAACCTCTGCATCCACCTAATAATTTAGGCTCGATCCACATCATCAAATCCAACACGTGATATGCACAAACTATGTGTCGTTCATCAAACGATCTAGAAGGCCTGTTCTTAATTATAAATAATGGTGCAAAGTATTTCCTTTCGACGTCCTAAAGAAAAAGTAACCGTCTTTGACGTCTCGAATTCCAATCGTAGTCATCTAATAGCACAGTTAATGAAAATACGCCACGCACCGAAGGAAATCTCGAAGAAGTTAGTAACAGCTCACGAAGCCCATTTGATTCATTCGGAAATCCGAAACATTAATGTTAAGAAGTTCAACTAATATGGGATTAGTCCAAACTAAAAGGCAAACTGATACATAGATTATCTGTGGATTAAGAGAACGTCAACCGACCTTTCCAATTCTAAGTCAAGATTAGCGTTGGGATTTCACATTACTATACAGTCGAAGTCAGCGATGCAATATAATATCTCGGCTCCTCTAGAAAGGATTTTAATTACGGCTTCTCGATCGTCGTATTAATGTGGGCTTGATTAATAGTACTTGCCAATTAGGTTTGTAAATGAAATTAATTAGGTTCAGTAAAAATTCGTTCTTTTATTTTTTTTTTAATTCAGCTATTCGAGCTTTAAAATGGATTGAGTTTTTAATTTGTATTCAAATGCGTTTATTCATTTTCTTAATTAGTTTGAGTCATAATCAAAATTAACTAATTATAAATTTGATATTAATAATTTTAATATAGTATAAAATTATTAGATATAATTTAATTTATAGAATTTAATCAAATTTGCCATAATTTATTACATATTATTTTTAAGTTATTTGGAAAATTTTGAATTTTAGAGTAGTTGTTGCATCCTAGAACATTCGCGGTGGTAGAGAAATATAGAGTTTAGCATCTAAGTTTTGTAAGAAAGATCCATCACACAAACGGATAAAAAAGAGAGGTGTCAAAGTCATATGAGGCACCACAATTTTTGCGTGGAAAACACTGAAGAGGGAATCACGGGGCTTTGCCTAGTTGAAATGAATCCACTACTGCTTATTATTGATTACAAATGATGTCATTCCTCAAAGGAAGGCGTTGATTATTATACATCATATTGAACACATTATATAGCGTGCATTACTTATTTGGAGTTCGAGGAATTCAGTGACATGAGAAATGTTCTCAAGAGGATGCTGGGCTATTTGTTCGGTCAGTAGGATTGTAGTTGGAGGACGGAGGTCAGAGGAATCGTAGTCGGGCCACTCAGGTCGGAGGGACTAACGTTGGTGGATGACAATGGTCGAAGGGATGGCTGGCAGGCGAGGGTGGTTAGAGGAATTGTAGTTGATGGGTGACAAAGGTCGAATGGACTATAGTCGACGGAGGGACCATAGTTGGCAGTTGATATAGTGCTCCATCGGATGACCCATAATGATTCCATCGATCATAGAGTGTTTATCAAGCATTTAAGATCCTTAATGATATTAAAATTTAACTATCTTGGTGTCGTTGGATTCGCCTCGTTAAGGCTGCTCAATTTGACTATAATTATGACATATTTGAAAATAATTTAATTATCTAATTTATGCCTTGAAACTTCCAAATATACTTTGGTCCCTTGATTTAGGCCCATTTGGGCTCATATTGGACCGATTTTAGTGTAGTTGAGTTAATCTCACTGAGTC